GCCCGAGGTGTTGGGGCTTTTCTTCTCTTTCATTCAAACCCCCTCCTTCCAGCCGGCGGGTGGAACTACAACAGCCAGCCTCTCCCTCGAGAAGCAGACGCAGTCCAGAAGCCTGCAGTATTTCCTACCCAAAGAACCAGGCGCGCTCCAGCCCCTGCTGCAAGGAAAACCCCGCTTCCCTCTGCTGGCTATCACAGAAAGCCGAACGGTTTTGCCGCCGCCAAAGCCGCCGCGATGGAGGGGGAGCTGGGCGCCCGCCTGGCTCAGCCTTCCCCCTTCTTCGCCGAGTCTTCCCAAAGTTAGCCTCTCCAGCAGCAGCGCGGGCGTTTCAGAAAGTCGAGCCAGGAAAAAGCCGAGCTGCCTCTTTAAAAACACTTCCCACTCCGACCCGACGCTGGCCCGACTCACAGCGTTTATTGGAAAGAAGCCGCGCGAGTTCCTCTACTGGGGATGATCCTTCCCAATTAGCGGCTGGACCTTGGAAACTGTTGAAAGAGACCGTAGGGAAGGACCCGGTCGGCCTCTTTGGTGTTTGGGGTGGTGTGTGTGTTTTAATTCAAAAGCGAAGGAAAACAACAACTATTTCTAGCCCTTCCAAAGGGACCTCTTTGCAAAAAGGAATTGAATTCATGCAAGAAACATCTTGAGCGGAGATGCTACAACGCTATTTTAAAAAAATGGCCCCGGAGGAAAAAAATATTGAAAATATGAATATATTTCTTTTTAAGATGGTTCTCATAATGGTCATTAAAAATCATTAGATCTCCTGTTTAGGGAAGAGTTTATATTTAATGAAAGTACATTTATTTAGATGAGAGCTGTACATCCCTTACTTAGGATGTGGTTGGATCCTCCTTTGCCGCCCCTGTTGGGCCTGTCATTCTCACAGCTCTCCACCAGCAGGCCTCCAGCACCAGACTGGAGTAGGTTGGTCTAGGCAACTCAGCAATTTGGGGGGCTGCATGGTCCTGGGAAAAGGCACTGTAAGGAGTTGCAGGCAGTCCTACCTTCATGCGCCCTGCACTGTGAAGCACCTTTTTGTATTCACATCCAAAGTGTAGCACCACCCTACTTCACACAATACAAAGATCAGTGAGAAAGATCTAACAACTGCACATGCATCACAGTGTAAGCTTGGTTAGTTTTGCCTCTGGTTAGTTTTTCTATGTGTCTATGTAAAGTCCAAACCCAGAAAATTGGTTTATTTGGTAATTATGTTAAGGATATTGTGCGAGCCCAGCTACTCACAAACTAGTTCACTACACTTCAGGGTAGCATGCTTTGGAAATCCAGCCAAAGACTGTCCCAAAGTCACTTTGTGAGATCTTTGGTTGGGTGAAGACTTGAACATGGATCTCTCCCAGTTCCAGTGTATCATCTTAACCATCACATCACACTGATTCTGTGTTACAATGTTAAGCATATTTTCTCTAACAAGTTATAAACACATCATGCTGGCTTAATAAAAAATATTCCTGATGAAAAGAATTGTAACCTTAAAATGAGTTGGGGTTTGCAGGAGACTTGAAGTCTGTTGTGCAGGAGAACTACAGCTTAAAATGAGGTGCCAGGCAAAATGATAGAGCCATTTTCACTATCGCACATGGGGAAAGCTTTTTATAGTAATCTGCATTATTCTACTTCAACATGTGGTAAGTTCATCCAGCTGCTTTGTTTAGGGGTGTTCTGTGCTCCTTTAAGCAAATGCATTTAGATGTTTAGACTGTAGTCTTCCAACAATTACTAGGGTTAGTTAAATTACTAATGTTTAAATTATTACTTGGGGTAATTAAATTCAGGTATTTACTTCAGTGAAGAAGCACATTAAGGACTATGCCCCTTCAGAGGTACCCACTGAATTGGGAAGTTTTGTCACATTGACAAAATATTTATTGTGATGTCCACCTTACATTCATACACAGAACATGTACCATAATACTGTGGTACATATTTCATTACATAATCGCCTTCACTTGTCCTGCCTGCAGACACTTATGTGAGCCTAGCTTAAACAGAAAGTTGCTGATCCTTCATCTTTCATAATATGATAGATCCTCCACTTTTTGGACCTGGACTGAAATATCAGATGCATTCTCAACCATATTTCTGGTAAATACCATGGAAAATCAGTAGGCCCTTACTCTGAGTAATAACAAGAAAGATGTAGTGCTTGTATTTCAGTGCCTTCCTCATACACCTATATTATCAGAGATAGTTTTCAACAGAGCTCTGTTAAACTACAACAGAGCTCTGTTAAACTATATTGTTAAACTACAATTCCCAGAATTCCCTACCATTGTAACCATTGCCTTTTCTTGAGAGGAGAGTTTATGTCTGGCCTTGTCAACTACAGGTGGGAGATAAAGAGTTGTGCGCATTACTTTTCCAGTACATAAGAGGACAATCACATTAAACATCTAATAAAATAAACTATTACAGAAAAATCCTAAAATACCAACAAGCACAAGAAAATAACACATGTAGTTTATATATTATGGGTGACTACAGTCTTCTAATATACCTCAGAAAAAAGCCATTGTAGAAAACTAGTGTGCATACAGATCCATTTATATTCCATTGAACTTTGCTGACAATGAATTGTAGATAAAAAATAAAGCAATACTACACTGTTTTTTTAAGTATTCATTCAAATCCATATAATATCCCACTGGGATTGTTCTAAACTGCTATATGCTCAAGCAACTTGTTTCAAAGTGAAACATTAACTTTTTTTAAAAGGTGATACTTCTAAAGGCTGGATTGGGTTAAAATTACACCTGCCAGCTGTGTTTTGGTTTGTGGGCACATGGTCTGCGTGTAATATTGATAAGCAAACCTCATACTCTTGTAGGATTAACTGAAGCAAGGAATCTTTCTATCTTCATTGTATAACAGAAACAGAGAATCCAATTGCCCATGCAATCAGCATGTACAGCTTGCTGCAAGTACAAATGGTAGTCACTGAGTCTTTTAAAATATTATTAATGCCAAAAAAGCATAGTGTCCCTTATTTCATTAAGATTTTGGTACTCTGACAGGAAATCTGTAAATCCTAAGTATGCCTACTGAAAAAAGAAGTCCCACTGAATCAAGCTGAACTTCTGAACAAAGCAGTAGCTGGAAATCAAGCAATTGATGAGAACTCGATGTGTGAACTGCCCTTCGAAACAAGCTAGATACTTCAGTTACTGCAAAATGTGTCATCAGTACAGCCTCTAGAATCGCATCACTTCGATTCTAAATGAGTTTTATTGTACTTTCATTTTTTTAAAATTAGGGTTACACACTGTACTAAATCATAGTTTGTTTCAAACATCCAGTTGGTTGAATTCACCCAACACAACTTAATGCCCTTAAAATCCTGAAAACCACACATGATTGGTCTGATGTTTTTCCCATTGTGGGGAATTAAGGGGCAAAATCATTTGATTTTCTAAGAATGCTTCTGCAGCCTATGTGGGTCTAGAGGCCTTGTTGGAAAAATAGATGATGATTGGAGCTTGGTAGCAGGCTTATCTCCTGTTATTTTTCATTATAAGATTATTTAAAAGAAAATATCAGGTGAGGGAGGGGAGAGGTGTGGGTGGTACATTGATACTCATAGGCACGTGACAGATCCAGGCTTCACATCATCCTGTGAAATGGCATTCAAACAACTTCAGAATGGGCAGCTGTACTGAACATAAGGGGTCGTTAGATACAGAAAGGAATTCTAAATAATAGGTTCTGTTTTAGATCGCTGAGATTTTGTCCTTTCCAGGGGATTTCCTTTTGCATAGGATTCTTTGCTCTTCGTTACTTTCCTGTTGGACTGGAATCTGACTTTCCTGTGATGTTTAGAATCTAAGATTACAGTGGTACAGAAAGTAAGTCATTTGTCTCCTCTATATGTTATGTTGTGAATGTTTTAACAAAGGGATCTTGAATTGTATCAGTTTGCCATGGCCTTATTCAGTTAATAGCCACATTCTCTCTTCAGTTCCTGTGACTTCAGGGGCTTCTACCTTATTAGCAGAACCTGAAAGCAGAGAACCCAATTAAAGGCTGTTCTCATTATGTGTGAGAGAACTTGCAGCTGTTTATTTCAGTTTTTCTATCTAGGCAGTAAAGTCTGTGGCACAACACATCTAAGGCAGTTGTCTCCATAGAGACGTTTACCCCCAGGGAAAGCACCTCTACTGACTCTTTAGAAAGGATCTTGTTTCCTACATAAATGTGGTTATGCTAAGGGAAAACTAATATATACAGAGCAAGTGGGACCACCTGTAGTAAAATATTTCTGTGTGGAGTACTGGTCTTAGAATTTCCAGTTATGCTCTTTTCCAGAATACTCTGTACCAGCCACCTGCTTTTTCTGTCTTCCATCTCCAACTATCAACCTCCATTCTTAGCTGATAAATATGCTCAGTCCAGGTAGGGCAGGTTGCTCTGAAGTAGATGATCCCTAAAGTTCTTTGTCTTTCTGTAAGCCATATTGTTTTCCTGAGCATAATGATCCTCTTGTCTGAGGATGATAAAACTAAAAATGAGTACTAGAAAATATTCAATACCCAGAACAATTTTGAGTATTCATCACAATATCTCTTTTGTATAATACAGATTTTGCCAGTGAGCTGTTTGATGAAAATTATGAGAGTTGTGGTCCAAAACATTGACAGAACATGAGATTAGGGAAGACTGGAGCAGGGGTATGGTGGGAGGTGAGATATCAAAAAAATCAAAATG